GAAGTTGGACCCTTCAATAAAATCGATCAAACGAGTGACCTTGAGCCTGTGATGACCGCGTTTTACAACTAGGTGCGTAACCAAGGGTGCATCAGAATACTGCACAAAACGGAAAAGAATATACGGTTAAGAAGCAAAAAAAATGTGTAGAGTATGCGGATCAAGTACAGTTGTGTCAAATACCTTTTCTTGTTTGATTTAGGTATGCATGATATATTGAAGCAATATATCGTCAATTCATCCAAGTAACGAATTGGTTTGCACCTCAGAAACGTGTAAGTCCTATTATTCATTAGTATTATGAGTGATTAATTGGTGTAAGGAAATATTGAAGTCACTTCCTCCGTGGTCTGATGTGGCTTAACGGCTAAGCACGCGGTCTAGCATTCAGGAGGGCAGAGGTTCGAGTGCGTGTGGGGCCTGCGTTTTTGTTCACCAGACCCACCTTCAATACGATGATTGTTGCCCGTAATTCGCGCACATATGAGAGAAAAAATTACAAGAGGACAGATTGATATATCAAAGTGCCATATTGGAAAAGTATAAGTTCTTTGTTTACATTAATATTATTACTATAGAAAAAAACTGCAAGTTTAGTAAATTTCCATTTTACGTTATATATATATCAGTTATTGACATAAAATGTCTTTTTTATAACGCTAATGTTAAGTTCCAGGACTTTGTATGGGCCACTAATAGTAATTGGTTTAACGTTAGCATAGTCGTGATATTCACATTGTCAGTTCAATGTTATGATTACTAAACAGTTCCCTTATAAGTTGTGTTTAAAATTAGGTATGTGGAATCAATGCGGCTGACATAGTAACCTTACAGTAACGCACTGTACTATATCTTCACGGTTATTGATTCTTAAATGTCAGAAATTAAAAAAATTTGAATATTGCCAATAAAGATGGGTTATATGATCACACTAAAAAGCCTGCTGCAGGGAAACTGGTTAAGTCATTACGTAAGTTTCCTAAACATGAAAAAATGATGAGAACTTTAATAAGTACTTGACCATGGTTTAATCCAAAATGTTTTGTCTAGAAAACTACTTATTAATAGTAGTATTAATCGTATCAAGCTACTAAACATATCCTCAACCGAAAACTTTTAGAAGTAGTTCATATGGTATATATGTATAGCCAGTCTACGTGAAAAATGTATATAAATATATAAGAAGTACAGCCAACATAGTTAATTAACCAGAAAAAGAAATTATAAAACTCGCCTGGGTTGCTTTTTGAATTGGTTGTGTTTGCCAGTGTTAGTTGTATGGGTTTGATTAAAATCCTCAGCCATCGTTTCGGAATACCTAGCTTGTGCCCAGTATTTTAAAAAAAAATACTTAACATAACACGTATATATCAAAGGTAAAAGTTCTGGGGAGTCGTCGGTGAGGTGGAATGAGGAAAAAAAATTATTTTTAAGTAGTTGCAGGGTGTGATTAGCTGCGTGGTTAGATTTTATCCTGCAGCCGAAACTGTCAACATCCTTGACTGACTAATTGGATGTGCCCAGCGAACCGTTTTAGTCATTTGTAAAGATTTATTATCTTTACATTTCGATTCCGTAATGGATTTGTCAGTTAAACGATCTAACAACACGTATGGTGGTTCATGATCTAGATAAGCCGGCTTTAGCCTATCAATACTTACTGTGTCGTTGTTTCCATGTTTTTCTATCACGAAATATTTAGATTTTCTTGAGACGACTTTGAAAGGACCTTCAAATGGAGGACTGAGTGGTGCTTTTATTTTGTCACATCTTATCCAGACGTGCGTGCAATTGCTTAGGTCTTTAGGTATATATACGGCGCGCGATTGTTCACGAGTATTAATCGGCTTAAGTTTAGACATGTGGTCCCGTAGTTGATCTACATAATTTTCTAAATTAAGTTTTTGACTGTTAGTATTAGGGTTAATAAATTCACCTGGTAGTCTCAGAGTTGTTCCGAAAACCAGTTCCGCAGCTGAACACTGTGCGTCAGTTTTGACAGATGTTCGTATTCCCAACATAACTAACGGTAGGAATTCTGTCCACTGATTGGGGTTTGAGTGAGATATAAGAGCGGTTTTTAGCTGACGGTGAAAACGTTCTACCATCCCATTAGCCTGAGGATGATATGCAGTGCAGCGTATCCTATTAGAGCCTAGAAGTTTAGCCAAGTTATTAAATAGTTCGGATTCGAATTGCGCTCCTCTATCCGTCGTTATTGTTATGGGTGTACCAAAAATGGTTACCCAGTTCTGCATGAAGACTTTGGCTACTGTTTCTATAAAACAACTAGCACTTTAGGAAACGCTTTAGTTAGAGTAAAGGAAGCGATCTTGTCCATTTACGTACAAAAGTGTATCTACAGATCAGGTCGTGTTGATTGTTATGCGTTCTATATTAAAGAATATTCTAGTGAGAACTGAAATCATGCCAAGAAACACTTATGTTACGCAAGAAATTTACAGACTAAATCAGCAATAGCAGTACATGCTGCTTTCAGTAGTCACCAGATCGACGTTAAAAATGTTGAAATAACTCGGAAGCGATTTCCAATTATAAAGAGAGGCGAGTAACCGGAGTATTTCACGTTACGCTGAATCTCCCTGTCTTCAATAGGAAAGAAGGCATGAATATTTGTAGTGACCTACTTTTATCAAGAGAACGCGATTGGTTTAATGAAAACAATTATTATAATAACCAATTGTACCAATGACTGTTTTACTGTGCTCGTTTGTTTAACTGTGCTAAAAGCCACATTACTGCTCTATTATCTTTCGATTGTGACCTTGCGCGAATTCGGTTACGCTCAGTAACCACGAGTGTACCCCTTTGGCACGATTTCGGTATTCTTTCGATACCACGAGATCGCCAACAAAAACATCTCGACTACAGCCATCAACTGCCTTGTAATATTCGGCTTACGGGGGATTTTATCGGTTAACTGGCACGTAGATTTCTCGTAGTGGTGCTCATAATCGATATCGACTCGACTCCACGCCACATATTCATCCAACTTGAACGATTTATTCAAACAACCACATCTGACCTTATTTATTTTCCACACGATCTACACTCAGTTACCTGATTTCGACCGCGCCACTTGATTTTGTGAGTGTACACATTTTTCACATCCATGCTCTGACACACAAATTAATGCAGTGACAGGTCATACAAATTCGCCTTGACCAGGAATATCTTGCCATTGATATGACCAAACCTATTATGATTTTGATTGTAACAAATATATTCTCCACTATATCCTCTGTACTATTTAAACTAGTGTTGGTTTAATTCGCTAATTTATTTACTCTGGAGAATTGGATTACATAATTTGGGGAACATCAGAAATACCATCTTTCTACTTATTGGATTGTAAAGAAAATATGTTTATCACAAAACATAATGTTCTCTAAAAGCTTTGAAAGCGTCACACAAGTACGAGGCTGAACAGTGCTGTGTAGTGACTCACATTTACCACGAGAACACGACTGGTTTAATAAAAACAATTATTATTATAACCAACTGTACCAGTGCTTGTTTTAATGTGCTTTTGTTTGACTGTGCTAATGACAGCTATATTTTGCTTCCATTCTTATACACACACTTTTGATTGTGACTTAGCGCGAATTCGGTTACGTTCTGTAACCCAGCTTGTATCCTGGCACGATCTCGGTATCCTTTCGATACCACGAGATCGCCAGCAAATATATGTTGACTTGGTCCATTAACTGTCTTCTGATATTTGGCTTCTCGGGGATTTTATGGATTTATTTGGTTACATTCAACCTTCGCCTTCTGATTTACTTGGCACGTGTTTCTTGGTAGCGGTGTTCATAGTTAACCTCAACTCGACACCACGCTACAGCTGTTGTCACAAATACCTTTATTGTCAAAAAATATCAACATCAGAGAAACCAGAGTTCATGAATGAGGGAGTTAGAAGATATATTTGGAAGGTCGCCGATAGGTCGAGAAATGTTTTGTCTAAACAGGCTAAATGTTGCGAAGGATGCGTAGCTTGAAGTACATGATCGTGATCCGGTGCGTGTCAGGGTAGGGTGTTTCCAGTGAGACCGTTGAGGTTGAGGATGTCCCAGGACTTTGGGGTTTGACAACGCTTTAACCATCAACCCCTTCTGATGTGAAGCGTACCAACCAAGTGAAATCAAAAGACAGAAGCAAGGAGGTTTGAAGATATATTTGATGGGCCATCAATATACCGAAGTTCGTTTGATCTAATCTGGCTAGCGATTGCAGCGGATGTTGAGCACAGCATTCCCACTCGTGATCTGGTGCGGATGCATGACCGAGTGCCTTCAGCTGGGTGAGTCCATTAAAACTCATGTAGTCAGTATGCAATGTCAAGAACTTACAGAGCTATTTATTTTGGGGATTTACTTACGGCTACAACGTCAGTGTTGATGCCCAATACCCAAAGAAGATTTGTTTACCTTTACTGATCAGTAAAGGTAAACAAATAGGTCGACCTACTTATAACCAGTCGTGACCCTAGCCTAAAGTAGATATAAAAGATCTCAAGGCGTGACACAGCAATTTAAATCTCAAAAATATCTCCAACCCTATAATGAAAATCACATCATGAAGATTTTTAACACCTGAAGTACTAGACGTAACTTAGAGAGTCTTTTAATAGGACTTAAAAAGCAGGTTCCACTATTTATTTACTATAGCTTTTGAATGTTTTCATACAGATAGGGTCTTGCGTGGTGTCATTAACAATTTATTATTAAGAAACCCAGAAGATTATTTAGCGGAAACTGCCTATCTAATTCTAAGGGACAAGCAATGTGTTCTACATCTATTATCAACATGTATGGTTTATTGACATTACATTTATCCGCGTACATAGTGCTATGAAAACGAAAAAGTCATTTATTTTATTTAAATCATAAAAGACAAAAAATTGTTTTGTCACTCTGGAAATTGGACGTTTATCTTCTGTTGCATTTTTTGGCTACCGCGTCACTATTATCTTACGGATGCTTTATCTTATTTTCCTGAATATACTTCTGTTTATTGGTTGTTATATAGCTGGATGCATACCTATAACTTTTAAAATACCTGTAGTGAGTTTTTGTGCTAACTGTTGTGCAATTTGTTTTGTATGTAAGAAGCACGTAAGTGAATCTGCTTTATGAACAATCTTTAATCAATGATTAAACGATTCGAAAGTAATTACACACTTCCTGGGGTTAAAATAAAGCCATGAATCAGTATGAAGAATTATTAATAGGGTCTAGAGTAAAACGTGTCTGGGGGTCAGAGTTAGGCGAAAATGCGACAATTCAGCGGATATTAAGGCGAAAATTCGACAATTCGGCGGATATTTAGGCGATAAGTCGATAATTTGTCGACAAAACGGGAAAACCCGCATTATTTCCCCCGGACAGGCGAAAAAGGCGACATTCTGGTGCGTTTTCCCTTTCATTTCCCCTTTCGCTACCAAAGCATTTACCCCTTTATTTCCCCTTTTTGGGTTGCTTGGGTTAGGGTTTTCATCAAAATCTGAACGCGCGCTATTTATAAAGGACAATGGTATTTTTCCTCGCTAAGTACACCACATTGTCTTGATCGTTCATCACGTATCAAGGATACTGTTTACACTTTAGCCGAATTTATCAGTCAAGGTATCCGATTAGAGTATTGTTTCTGTTTCTAAAGCAGTTTATCGTCGGTACTTTTGAGTACATTCTTTTACATTGTATGTTAGTACTTTTGGTTCTAACAATTTACAGTTTTCCCATTCTTTTTATCATGGACCATTTTTATCTTTGGGTGCTATTGCATCCAATTCTTTTTTTAAAAAATCCTCTGGTGACTGGACAGCGCAAAAAAGGCAATTACCAACGTCTGGGTTGTCGATTTCCCGTTGAAATCGGCATGCAGTGCGATGAGCGCAAAGACTGGTACCACGAAGTTTGCACAACCTTAACGCCTGCGGCTTTTAGACGGTTCAGTAAAAACGGTTGCATATGGCTTTGTTGGCAGTGCTGTTCGGATGCAAACAGTTTGATAACCGAGATCATCTCAATGGTAAACGCTGCAAAAAATGTGTTTTGGCAAGCGTAGTCGGGATACATCGGACAACACTCGCTCTGTCGACACGCAAATTAGTGTGAAGCAAACTCAAGTGAGTCCGGAAACCAATATCGACCAAAGGAGGAAAGATAGTCTCCGAAGAGGTCTGTCTTAGCTAAACACTCAAGAAAAGAAGTTTCTCCTACCTTCCGTCTTCTAAATGGTATCCAGCAGGAAACGCCTAGAAGCCGCATTCGCAAGGCTCAATCAGTTTATAGCGTGAAGCATCCTGACTTCTCAAGTCGTCAACAACCCTACGGAATCCCACAGTACGTTTGACGCGACTGTGGTTGCTACACCAACCAACGTTGAGGAATGGGTACAGGTTGTAAGCAACAATCGACATAACGATATAAAAGGGAATCGTACCCACATAAAATTAGTCAAGAAATTGAAGACTGGTCACAGTGACAAATCAGTTATTTCCCATAGAATCAAGGAAAGTGAAAAACTCGTTTTGAGCATGACATTGTGCTGATAAAACAGCTATTTAAACAACTTATGCCTCAAAATATCTCCGGAGTCACATTGATAAAGGTATATAGACTAGGTAGTCTAGCGAACTTGAAGCCTAATCAATCCGAACTACTTAAAGTAGTATTCACATCTAATGAATGTTAATTAATTTCGCAGAATTGACGTAAATTAAAGGGTTCAGGAGTTTTTCCCTTAAGGACTTTAATGCATCAATGGTAGACTGGGAAAATCTGCGAACTGAATTGTCAGATAATTTATTAGAGCAGGAACTAGGTGATGCGGTTATCACATGTGCACTAGTGCAATATGTGGAAGAAGCGACTAGGTGCGACCCGGACTCTGAATCATCCTTACTAGATTTTATATTGACTCACTATGAGGATGACGTTGCGAACCTCAATTACATGCCACCCTTAGGTAAAAGTGATCATGCAGCTCTAAATTTTGACTTGCATATAACTGTCAATCACGAGCACGCATCAGCTCAATCCGGACCTAACGTCTGGAAAGCAAACATACAAGATATCCTGCACTCAGCATCGTCAGTAGATTAAATAATAGACCCAGAGTCCTTAATTGAAACGGCTTGAGACGCATTTCGAGATTTATACTCAAAAGTTACCTCACCCCACATCCCTTGAACTACATCAAAGGGGCCGAGAAACTCTCCACTATGGTTCAGTACGGAGATCCGTGTCCTTCTCCGTAAGAAGAGAAATGTGGGATAGATTTAGGTGCCAGGGAAGTCCTACTCACTGCCTTCTTGAGGCATTACTGTTGTTTACGAAATTGAGAGGACGAAAAGCGAATGTCCGGCGCTTTAACCGGGTTGGCTGACACGTAGAGTCGACCTAGGGGAGTTGGAAATCCCTGATTCCAAACCAATGGTGCACATGGGCCCCAGTATTCTGAGTGAACAAATTGCGTATGAACCAATCGTTCGTCACCAGCTACCATGGGACTGAATCTCCTTACGATGCCGCACTGCCTTGTGGATCAGACCTTCAGGTCGAAGGCTCTGAGTGTGGCCCCCTAAGAAAACCACCTGTTTCGGTTTGGGTACCTGGGAAGTATCTCAGCCCTCACACACGAAATGAAATCTGTGTTGCATATATATTTGGTGCCTCCTTGTACCAATATCTGTGTGTTAAAATAAAAAATAAAAATAATATCATCATCGGTCTTGCTATATGCTGACGATGTCAAGATACGGAGAGCGACACGAATTAAGGGTGATAGCATAGAACTCCTAAATGACCTGAAGAAATTAGCTGAATGGTCTCAAACCTGGAAGTATTGTGATGCATATTGGTCATCGAGGTAAAAATACATACACGATGAATAACATTGAGCTACCTGTCATCCAGATACATAATGACTTAGGAGTCATCGTTAGCCAAGACTTAAAGACTACTGTACACTGCCGTGCAATAGCCGCCAAAGGTTTTAGATCGTTATGGTCAATACGTATAGCTTTTAGTCATGTCGACGCTAAAACGTTTTTGACTTTGTATACAGTGTTCGCACTTCCGAAACTTGAGTACTGCATATAGGCGGCTATCCCCTGCCTAAAAAAGGACAGTAAACTTTTGGAAAAGGTTCAGAGAACGGCAACTAAGCTGATTCCCGGAATAGCAAAGCTCCCGTATGATGCTCGACTGGCCAAGCTAAACCTATTCCCGTTTTCATATCGAAGAACTAGGAGCGAATTGATTACAGTTTTCAAATCGCTTAGTGATAAATTTGCAACTGATATGCCCTCATTTTTCTTGTCTTCCAAAACAGAGAATTTACGAGGACACTCCAAAAAAGTTCACAAGTCCAGGACAAATTACTTGTCAGTTGACTATCGACTTTCCCATCGAATCATCAACGAACGAAATTCATTACCTCAGCACATGGTTGAGGCTCCATCGGTCGACTCTCTCAAAAGAAAGAACGATCAACTGAGAGACCACCATTGCCAGGACTAACATAGGCCATTAAGCCTACTGTCCTTTCCAAACTGAAACTGATCTAACATCAGCCATGATGCCAAAATGCTTTTTAACCATAGGGGTGGATGAATTTTACGCCATAGCTCGAGATTTACTGATGTAACTCTGATCATTCTGATCTAGAATGAATCAGGTTAAGCGTCTCTAGTACTACCTTTCCGCTCATTCGTACAAAAGGAACGCCCTTTCTGTTAATCATAGTTTAAGACAGAGTGAGCGATTGGCACGATCTCTACTTAACTGTGTTAGCTCATAAATATGGTTCACCAATTCCAGGGCATCACATAGAGGTGCGTGTCGGTCTTCGCTCTGACACTATGTAATTATTTCGATTTTATCAGCAGGTTGTACACCAAAATAGCGCTTTTCTGGTTAAAGTTGGGAAGTCTTTCTATACTTAGAAGACACTATCAGATGCTTACAGAATTCTACTGGTGGAGAATTTATAGGGGATTAGAGAGGTTAAAAAACCGTACATATCCCTATTGCTGATTAGGAGTGATAAAATAGATAGTTTTATGCCACCACGTTAACAAAGATGTTTTTCTGAAGGGCTTTGTAAATTTTAGTGAACTTTTTAACCACAACCCTTGTTTAACAAATGATTGGAAAACATGGTCCTGTCTAGCGCATTAAAGTCAGTAATGATGTCGGTTTTTTTTAACATGCAATGCAGGTGGTAACATTCAGATATTTGGTAACAAGTGTATATGTGGGTGTACTATACTTACATAAACCAACCTACCTCTTTTGTGTTCATCGTTAACGGATTGTTCATAATCTGCGCAAAACGTTATTATCCGATCATATTCAAAGCCTAGCTGGTAGAGAACCTATAGCTTTATGGTTACCACATACATTTTAAGGTTGGTTTTCCCAACCACATTCTGAAGTGGGTATAAATTCCTGTTCTGTGACTAGAATTTTGTATATATATATATATATATATATATATATATATATATATATATATATATTGATTCACAGGTATTCGGCTATTCACTGTACCATTACGGTAAAATTTATCCCCTTTATATTCTATTGTAGTTGATTGCATGCATATTTTATGATCTGCTGGAATGTATTTTCTGAGTTTTGTATTATTTATTACATCTCACAAGTCAGTTACCATTTATTAACTTGAAGGTATGTATATCTAACTTAATTATAGTCGAAAATTCGTATACTAACTATTTTTGGTGCTGGTCTACTTTTGGGCGCTGCATTGGTTGTCGTCATTCCCGAAGGCATTGCAGTTATTTGCAGTCCACATAAAGATCAACATTCTAATCTTATTTCGAATAAAGATAACCACTTAAATCATCCCAATTCACGTGTAAGTTATGAGAAAATCTTTTTTTATTATTCACAAGTAAGTTTTGTGTGTAAAATAACTTCTTGCTCAGTTGCTTAATCTCTTTTACACGATAAGCTTAATGTCCAAATGCTGATTCACTTCATCATAAATGATGACTGGAGGTTCTATCTTGTATTGCAACTTGAAATTAATTGATTAAGGTTTAACGCCATGATGTAATGGATGCGAATCAAATGCTAGACTTCTAGACTACAAATTAAAGACTTGATTTATGCTTTGATTGTGAATAGTGGTATCCTACATTTTTAAAGTGTAACTATGTAATAAAATAAATCGGACTAACATTAACAACTTAAGTTTTACAGTTTGAAGGTACCACAAATTAAACTAAAATGGTCGATTTATTAACGGTATTCTATCCAACTATGATGGTAATAAACAATTTACACATTCGTCCATCCACTCACTTCCTTTACCCGAATGAATTTTAAGGGGTGTTCAAAGTATAAAAAGACCTTATTCCTGTCAAGTTATACTTCAAATTAAATGATTGAATTCTACAACTAATTTAATGGAAATCAAATAAATTTGTGTAATTTTAGCGAAAAAAAGTAATAGGTCAAGAATATTAATTTAATTTGTAAAGGCACAAATCAATCGAGAAGACTTGAAAACTCAAATGGTTTCCAAAGAAAACATTTCGATCATATCTCAAACCTTTTAAGAGATTACAAATCCTTATACGACGACTTTCCAAACAATAAAAAAGAAGTAAGAAAGCCTTTCGATAAACTTTAGATTATCAAAAACTATTACTTGTGGCTAGTATATGAAGCATCAGTCAGCTCTTGTTATGTGTTGGTGAATTGAAGGTTTGATAAATTATGATTTGCACTTGGGATAATTATTTCTAAGTAAATTTAACCGAATCAAAGTATTTGTTGTCTTTAAAAAAAGACTCACTATTCTGAGATTATTTAACTTTATCATTCGTGTAAGGAATATTCTTTGGTGTAGAGAGTTCCTGTTAGTTTCTACAATATTAAATCTACGTTAATAGTTACTGATTTACGCTTGTCACCCTTCATGAAGGAGCATAGGCCGCTCACCAGCATTCTGCATCGAACTTTGTCTTGTGAAGTCTTTTACAGTTGTTTCCAAGTGCTATTCATCTTTTCGATGTTTATCTCCGTTTTCCGACTCAATGTGTTCTTTAATCTTCCTCATTTCCTTTTCCGTTAACGATTCCAAGTTAGAGATTATCTCGTAATGTAGTTTGATAGTTTCCGCAATGCATGTTCTATCCAATTCCAACGTCTATTCATAAGATCCATTCAATTGGAAGCTGGTTTGTTATCTCCCACAGTAGACTGTTCCCGATGGTATTCGACTAACAGACATTCACTATCTTGAATAGACAATTGTTTATAAATACTTGTACTATTTTGATGATGGTTGTAGTAGTTCTTCAAGTATTTAACTAGTAATTACACATTTTAATCACTATTTTGATGCAATGCCAACCGGTGTTGGAGATGGTTGGAAGAAAGTTAGGGGTGGCCAAACCAAAACGTGGCATCAGTGCTTGAAGTCACTAACTTCTCGTGTAAGCCAAGTTGGTAGATGCAGACTACTTGGTTGGGATCCGCGTGACAATCTTAACCAATGGTTGGAGACTCTTGGTGACATGGCTCAGAATCGATCATAGTGGTGTTGGTGTATACACTCTGTGTCTTCCCTTAAACTAAGAGATTAAAATCGCTTCATATGTTTCTTCCTACGAACTAATTCTCTCCCTGTACTATATCCTTATCTGCAATCTTTCTTTTATATATTACCACCTCTGAATTAACTACTTTTATGAATCCGGTGTCCATCTTGTTGTGTTAATGAGGTATGGCAACTTGGACCGATGCATATATGTGCCTGATCCTACGTTGTAGCTGACTGACTGATTTCGATGCTTACTTTTGATTTACTATACTATGAAATCGTCCACTTAGTGTACAGTCTTTTGAATCGCGTCTTTATTAGAAGATACCTTTAGAATGTTATTTTCCTTCATTTCCCTCTTTATTAATCTTCTTTTGATCACATTACGTTATATGATTGTTTTCATTACATTTTTTAGAGTTTAAATATGATAGATACAATAGAATCAACAAATGAAAAACATCTTCCATCTGTAATAAATAAAGACAATGATCAAATGAAACAACAAAATAACATTAACCATGAAAATAATCATGCTTCAAATGAAGATCATCATTCTCATAATGATAATAATAGTAGTAGTAGTAGTAGTTATATTCATCAAAAAGTTGGTATTGCATTATTATTAGGTTATCTATTCATGTTATTAGTGGATCAAATGAGTTATACCATATTAGAATTGACTTGTTGTCAAACTATATTATTTGGATTAAAAAATTTATGTTATCATTCTATATTGTATATACCATTAATGAATAGATTTAATAATAATAATAATAATACCAGTACAGTTATCAGTAACTCAATGAATACAACGAATTCAACTTCTAATAATACCAATAATCTATCCAATGAAACATCAATTAATAATAATAATAGTTCTAATTGTTCATCAATTAATTCAATTCAATCAATTAATCATAAAGGACTTATTGTTACATGTGGTTTAGTGATTCATTCATTAGCTGATGGATTAGCAATTGGTTCAGCATTTGCATTAAATCAATTACAATTAGAATTGATTTTATTTTTAGCTATTATTTTACATAAAGTAAGTAAGATTATTTATTTAATTATTTATTTATTTATGCAAAAGCGATAAGTCCCTTCTATGAATTTCGATGAAACAATGAGATCAACTTGGTATTCTCATTGTTCTATCGATATTTATTAATGATTATACGACTGTTTAGTCAGTGAATCCAATTGTAGGGCATAATATTATGAATTACAAAAGAGAATATTTACTTACATACTTACGCCTGTTAACCCTCGTAGAGGAGCATAGGCCGAGCAATCCTTTCCAGTTTCTATTCATCCTTTTCATATCTGTTTCTAATTCTCGACATAGTGTATTCTTTGACTTTCCTCTTTTCTGTTTCTATTCAAGATTTCATGTTAGAGCTTACCTCATAATACCGTTTGGTGATTTCCGTAATGTATTTCCTAGCCACTTCCAACATCTTTTCCTGATTTTCTTTTCAACTGGAAGATGGTTTGTTCTTTCCCACAACAGGCTGTTGTTAATGGTATCTAGTCAATGGACATTCATTGTCTTACGTAGAAAACTGTTGAGAAATACTTGTACCTTTTTGATGATGGTTGTGGTATTTGTAGAAGTTTCAGCTCCATATAGTAGAACTGTCTGTCTTGACGTTCGTATTGAAGATTGTGACTTTGATATTGATTGATAGATAGTTGTTTTGAGTTGTATATTTTGTTTGTTCAATTGTGGAAATGTGGTCCTTCCTTTGCCAATCCTCTCTTTTACGTCTGCATCCGAACCTCCTTGTTCATTGATGATGCTTAAAGGATAATATATGTATATATAATGTTCTAAATAGATAAGCTTTGAAACGTTTGGTAAAAGAGTTCTTTTTTTTCTAACGTTGTTCTATGTAATAATAAATGCAGTTCAATTTATCTGTTCGTGCTATTATCGACGATTCAATAAACTAATCCATCCAGTTAATTGTGTTGGGTATTTTTATTTTCATAAATCATATCCATTGGCCCCCAAATGCCCTGGTACGGCCGAGCGTAGGGAGAGTTACCTCTCTCGAAATGCTCTCTCATGGCCACACGTATACAGTCACTGTCAGGCAAGTTCTACTTACTGCCTTCTCATGATGACCCTGCTGTTTACGAAATCGAAAGGACAAAAAGTGTATTTTTGACACTTTAACCGGGTTGGATCCACCTAAGGGAGTTGGAAAACTATGATTCCAAACCAATGATGTACATGGGCTCCGGAATCATGAGAGAGCGAATAGCGTATTGTTGGTCACCGGTTATTATGGGACTGCATCTCCTGACGTTACTCCACTGTCTTATGAGTTAGACCTTTTTGGTCAAAAGCTCGGGATGTGGCCTCCTATGAAAACCACCTCCTTAAGTTTCGGCGCCTGTGGAGTATCCCAGCCCTCACACAATTTGAATGATGAAGGGTGATGCGTATCTCTTTGGTGCCTCGTTGTGCCGAACTTTGATTTCTTTAAATAGAAAAATAAACTCATTTACAAAGTGTGAAGTTTTATGTTGCATACTCAACTTCCTACTGTACTGTTTTTACGACGGTTAGAGATTTTACACGGTTTCTTAAACTTTCCATATTAAAATTAGCTAGTTATGCAGTGAGTACATGGTTTTACTGTATTTACAAAAATAACTATATATTGACCTTGTTTTAAATCATTACTATCTCCTTTTTTAAGATACCAGCCGCTTTTGGTTTATCATGCTTTCTATTACATGAAGGATTTACACGTGATCGAATTCGTTTACACATGATCGCTTTCTCACTTTCTTCACCATTGGCTTCATTTCTCACATATTTCTACCTCTCATTATCCTCAACTGATACTGTAAGTTTAATGATTCTGATAAATTGTGTTTTTTTATTTATGAGAAGGGGTTTTTTGGTGATTATTATAGTAATTTCTGTTGGGGTGATCCAGAAAACTCTCAAAAGACAAGAAAGGCTCAAGAAGTATTAAGAGGCATCTTATCCAATCAGCGTTCACTTAAACATTTAGCCAGAAACATCAAGAAAGTGAGTTCACACGTAGAATTTCTGACTGGCTGATTACTATAGTGCTACTATGTTTAGTAACATTCCAGAATTCTCGGGAAACCCAAGGACATCTAAAATACTATAAAAACCCTATATTTTCTATACTAAAAGGAACCTTTGGAGTAAAGTGCTTGGCACATATTTTGCACCCTTTCTCTCGTGTTCAGGTCGCTGTATAGTTCTAGCTTGGGGGCTACGAGGATAGATTAGGAACCGAATACAGCGTTCAATTAGCAAGACTTATCAATTTCAATAGTTGAGATCATGAGTCAATTGAAGCTAGACCACCATGGGAAACTTGGGAGCACTGAACGGTCGTTTTGTCCGCACTCTGGAACTCCTTTGCAGTGAGAATCCATAATCCCGCCACGCGAAATTCGAATCCAGAACCTATCATTCTAGCGCACGAGCGCTTAACTTCTAGATCACTGAGTCGGTATCCAACGGTGTTAATGTTTAACTTCAACCAATCCACGAAATTGATCCACTGTTCCATTATTGTGTTTTGCACGAATTATTCTTTATTATTTATGTTTCTACTTAATTTTTATACTTTTCACAATTGTTTTGTATAACTGAATTACAATAAATCGTTAGTATTCATCACGCAATCGTTAGATCATCATACTAAGTTCGCATGTTTTTTGAAAAAAAATCGATTTTCAATCAAATCCCTTGTTGGCCAGGTAAATAATCACAAGTTCCTGTTTTATCATTCATACTCAAACCTTATATGAATTAGATCAACTATACTTGCATAATCATAACACTGTGTATATATGTTGCATGTCAAGTGATTGATTCAATCTTATTAGATGAAAGAGGTTATATAACTGTAATACGCAAAAATAATTATCCGTTAAAGTTGAAAAGATGTATTTAAGTAGTTACGAGACTTTATAAGAGAATTCATGAAATCTTTTAGTAAAAAAGTCAATGTGATAATCGGAACAAGTAAGAATCAAAAGAGATGGATAGTAACACTTCAGCAAATGTTTTGGAAGGAATAATATGAATCAAAGTTCAATTATATATCAGTATAAGGTTGTGGAGACTATTAAGTTATTGATTGATATCATGAACTGGTTGGTGTTAGATCACCATTGAAAACTTGGTAGCACTGGATAGCCGTTTTGTCCTATCGTGGAACTCCTCAGAAGTGCTCATCCACGATCCCGCTCACGGGATTTGGACCCAGAGGGCCTTCAGTCTCGCATGCGAGCGCTTAACGTACTAGACCACCGAGCCAGCATCCAACGGTGTTAATGTCTAACCTCACCCACTCCACGAAATCGTGCGACAATCTTCTATTGTACGGAGGTAGATACCTGTCTTTACCCGACACGGATTTGCTCCACTGCTCGTGGCTTCTCATTAGAACTCCGAGAATTCCCTCACGAAGCTAGTCACTATTGAGCACATGGTGATTATCAGTATAGGATTGTGGAGATTATTCAATTCAATTATATAATCTACTCTCATATCAATGAGAGGGTCGCATTCCTACAATTGAAGAACATATGGAACTCAAAACAACTTTCAACTAATATCAAAGTGAGAATCTTCAATACGAACGTCAAGGCAGTTCTGCTGTATGGAGCTGAAACTTGGAGAACTACAACAACCACCATCAAGAAGGTACAAATACTTATAAATAGCTGTCTACGCAAGATACTCAACATCCATTGGCCGGATAGCATCAGCAACAGCCTTTCGTAGGAGAGAACAAACCAGCTTCCAGCTGAAGAAGAAATTAGGAAAAAACTATGGGAATGGATAGGACATACATTACGCAAATCATCAAACTGCATCACGAGGCAAGCCCTAACTTGGAATCCTGAAGGGGAGTGGAAAAGAGGAAGGCTAAAGAGCACGTTACGTTGGGAAATAGAATCAGATATGAAAAGGATGAATAACAACTGGAAAGATCTGGAAAGGATTGCCCAACACAGTGTTGGATGGAAAGTGCTGGTGGGCAGCCTATGCTCCTTCACGAGGAGTAACAGGCTTAAGTAAGTAAGTAAGTAACTCTCATATCAATAACTCGTATATATTTACATTTTAAAATATACTTCTGTTTCTTTTTTTCTTAAAGGATATTGATACAGCTTCAACAAGAACGGGGATAGCTCTTTTATTATCAGGTGGTACATTTCTTTATGTAGCAGCTACACATATTCTACCAGAATTAATCAATTCATCAAATACTAGTAATGTTATTGAGTTAAATACTATCAATGATACTACAAATATTAACAAACAAATAAGAAATCCTAATTTATATTTATTCAATGAATCATTAAACAATACACCAGGACATCATACATTATACACCGTAGATAATAGTCATGAATCAATTATTATGTATAATTATCCAAAATCAAATAATGATTATATGAATCCTATCTCACATGTTCATCGATTAAGTATCATTGAAGTGATTGTATTAATTACTGGTACAATAATACCAATTCTATTCTCTGCAAATCATTCTCATTAATGTAAGAATGAATGATACCACTAATAATAACCTTCCAATTTATCAAAAATCAATTCATTCATCTATTCATAGTTGACTGATTGATTGATTTGTAGTTGAGTTAATTTTTCATTCTTATTGATAGAAAAGAAGAAAAAGAAAATCATTCTGCAGGGATTTTTTTGAATTTTTATGATCCTTTTCTGTAAATCATCATATTATTTATGTAAGTTGTTTGGGTTTCCCCCCATTTCAATACTGTGATATAAATATGTATGTATGTATACATGCACACACACACCAACTACATACTGTTCTTAGTAGTTTCTCTTTTCTAAAGGAGTAGTATAGTCAATTAATGTATATTAATAATTTTATTTTGTATATGGATAGATTACAATCAGCTCTCTTGTTTGTCTATGGATTATTGTATCTTATTTCTGATGCATCATTAAGGTTTTTGAATATTTCTCAAATAATAATAATAAGAATGATAAATCTCGACTATCTTGTTTTTTTTATTCTGTTGATTTTAATGAAACAGGTTAATTACCTATAGTCAGAAAACTCGCCAATTATTATTAACAGATGTGTGTTGTGAGTTATATTTGTTGTCAAGGAAGTACATTTCTTCAATATCTGATAATTAGGGAGCTAGCCCGATCGTTGCTGCTACCTTGACGTGGTGGTCAGGTTTGCCTATCGTGATGAACCAATCGAACTATACACCTCGCTTTATCCTACGGATATCCGTCACAGGCGGTAAGGTCTCAACAAGTACGGAGCTAACACGAAGATTACAAAATGGTCGTGTGTGACCGACCCGAAGCAGTTGTTTTTTGGGCACTGTGGTCACACTCTCAGGTCACTAAGACCACCTCTAACCCAGTCTCCTTTTCAGGTACCTACAGAAGAACTCTTTCACGCTGTTGTCAACCGAGAAGTGATAACTGCCCTCATACCTCTAACAGCACTCAATATCACTGTATTCATAGGATGCTAGCATAAAAACCCATCTATCAAAAAATCGGTGTTAATTTCCCACAAAAAGAAGATAAAATCTAAAACTTATATATCAATTCTTGGGAAACTCGGCTTAATTTCTTTGGAGCGTATCAATCAGTCATTTTACGACAAACTTATATAGTTCTATTGGTCACATGTTTTTAAACTCATTAATACGACGTTTAAGGATATTTCCTAATTCAGATCATCAGGCTACACTCTAATATACACGGTAGTATTTACATGAGTATATGAGAAACATTCTGGTATGATCATGTGAGTTGTGGATCTGAATAGTGGAAATTAACGTATTTTCAGATGTAAGATAAGATTTTGTTGGTCCATCGGTCTTGCAATAAAAATACGGTAAGGTTTTAAAATGAGTTATTTTTAGTGACAAAAAACGAAAAGGTTTAGTGAAAGTAAATTCTATGGGAGCGTTACAAATAATTTCAATGAAGTCTATTTCGGTGTTGACTTCACAACAGAGCACTAAATAAGTGGTAAGTTACATTCTTTGAATCTAGATATCTCTCAATGATGTCATAGAATCCGCCAAATATATAAGAAATGAGTATAGATTATTCAATGCCTGAATATTTTTAGCTTTTATCCCATAGGCTAAGAAAATTCCTCAAGATACACGTTAATCAAATTTGTTATTCTGTGTTATTTGTATGTGATATGTGGGCCGGTTTTTGGTGTGGAAATATATTTACGTTGTGGTCAGGCTAATTACGTGTTCTTGATTTGAGTTGTGTTGAAGTCCTGTAGAATAGACACTAGGAGGGAATCTAGTGTAGATATTCCCCTAGGGTAAATTAACGTCCCATATGTGTAAACGTGAAAACCCAACGGTTATAACACTAAGCAATGTAAAACCGTGCGTTATAACATTATGAAATAAAGATTTTTTATACTTGATGACTGCCTGATTTTGAATTCCAAATACAATATGTTTGTTCGGGCTCATTTAGTTCTTCTTGGTCGAAATAGCGTTGTTTCTGGGGTTCCTAGTTTGTTTGGCGATTCGATAACTTCTAATCGCTAAATTGGTGTCACGATAGAGCCTCTGATGGATTAATTGGACATACTTTCAGGATTTGATTCTTTTGTGGATTATATAGAAAAGTTCGAAATTTGAACTACGGATAAGGAAGATGTTGAGGATACTCATATTGTGTCTCATTTCCTTACATTCATCGGAAAAAAAGCCCACAGTTCATTAGAAACTTTTTCATTTCCAGAAGAGCCTATTTAGCTTCTTTATGCAACTCCCAAAGGAACTGTGGTTATATTGGTCCTAACCGCACAATCCACAAAGCTGAACATGAGGTAAATGGATATTCAACGATTAACACAAAAGAAATCAACGATGGGGAAGACGGGAAGAATTAATTAACTCAGTCGGATGGCATTACTCGGCCTCGCAGATATGTTCACCCTGTATAACCTGTCTTTATTCACCTTAAATATAATGTTAACCCAAATGTCTTCTTTAGAAATTTCAGATATTATATTGCTACTTGTCACGATACGACAATTCAGTGTAGACAATCATTTGATTTCCATGTAAGATCTTATAGATTAGGTAGTCACATCATCGCAAATCCACTATTTTAGGATTTGGTCTACTATTAGAGCAGTACTAATAATGGACCAGACCGTAATTCTACAAAACCACTACTAGACATTGTAAAGCATACAAAATTCGAATGCGTTAAAGGAGGATATTTTCACTAAATGATTCATCAGGACACCAGGACTTCCACTACGTCATCCCAATCCAGTGCATACTCAAGAGAATGCAAGTAATTCACTAAGGAGTTGTGAAGAGGAGCACAAGTTTGGTAAATGTTTGTTCCGTGGGAAATTTCACTCATGTAATTCTTGTATATTTTGTAATTCTAAATGCTTTAAATGTGGCGAAATTGGACACACAGACCACTATTCATTTCTCTGTAAGTGATATTAATTTCGTAATTCTGATCCTAATAAGTTGAGTATTTTTAATGGCCATTTATTTATCAGTCTTCAGTAATAAGGATAGTAGGTCGATGAACCCGTATTAATCATGACGCACTGCTTTCTAGTGAAGATCCAACATTTCCTTGAAAGTATTCACTGATGGGGCTGATACCACTTGTTCGGGTAAAGCGTTCCAATGATTGACTACTCGATGAGAAAAACGGAACCCCACTTTAAGTTTATTAGATCTTGGTTTATGAACCTTCTTGCTATGACCGCGGAGATTATTAGTGCTGGAGGGAGCAAAAAGATAAGACATTATAACACCCAAATCATAATTAAAGATACGAAATGCCAGTATAAGGTCACCTCGTGTCCTACGATACGACTAGGGGAAAAGATTTAGGCGTTTTAAACGCTCATCATAAGGGAGTCTAGAAAGACACTTCACTAATTTCGTTCCCACACGCTGGACACGCTCAAGGGAGTTAGTATCCTTTACCAGACATGGGCTAGCTGCTTGGATACAGTACTCTAAGTGTGGTCTTACATAGGTGGGATATAAAATTCTAAACGTTTCCTCGTCAAAAGATTTGAACGCTCGGCGAAGTGACCATAACGCTCGAAAACCTTTGACAGCGGCTGCTTTGCAATGCGTAGTTGTTTTTAAATCATGACTTAATACTACTTCTAAGTCTTTATGCTCTTGAACGCATGGAAGAGGTTTACCCTCAATAGTTTAACGGTAACTATTACCGTGACCGATGTGCATTAGTACACTCTTCCTAGTGTTGATTTCTAAGCCCCACTCTCGAGCCCACCTAACTAAATCGTCTAAGTCAGCTTGAAGATCCAGATGATCAGCCGCACTTTTTATTGTTCTCCAGATTTTTACATCATCTGCAAACAATAATGTTGACGACCTAAGCAACAGCGGTAACTCATTAACGTAGAGAAGGAAGAGCAGGGGGCCTAAGATGATGCATGGGGTATACCACTTTTGACCGGCTTCCATTCTGATAGCGTTCCATCGACCATCACTCTCTGTCTGATATTACGTAAGAAGTTTCCTATACATTCCTGTACAGTACCTATTATTCCGAAGCTCGAGATATCTGAATAAGACCTAAGTTGGAACCTTGTCGAATGCTCTGCTAAAATCTATGAATATCACATCGACAGACAGACCGTTATCTAGGGCTGCTGTCCAATCCTCCCTCGCAATAAGCAAGTTAGTCAAGCATGAACGCTTGTTACGAAATCCGTGTTGCTCAGGAGCTAACATTGTGTAAATCTATGTGGCTTAGCAACCTAACCCGAATTATCTTTTCAAGTAACTAAACGACTATACTAGTTAGACTAACAGGCCTGTAGTTAGATACTATCTGTCTCTGATCGTCTTTAAATATGGGACTGACCATAGCGTCCTTCCAATCGCTAGGGAGTTGAGCGAGTGAGAGGGACATGTTGAAGAGTTTCGCGAGCGGTTTGGAAATAATGTTCGCAAGAGATGACAGCAACCGTGGATGTAACCCGTCAAGGCCCGGTGTCTTACCAGGTTTGAGGTTAGTTATCAACGGAAGGACAGTTTCCTCAGTCACCTGTACAGATTCCATGGTTGGTATCTCAGTGTGAGTGGGACAAGTATTTGTTACAATAAACGTGGAGAAGACTTCGCTAAAATAGTTTGAAAAAGTCTCAGCTTTCGCTCGATCTGATTCAGCTAGTAATTCTGAATTTTCGTGTAACAGTAACGGGGGAATACCATCACTACGTTTCGTCCGCCGTTTAACATACGAAAACAATCGTTTCGGACAAGTACGGCTATCATATACTAACTGTCGTTCGTAAGTGGTACGGGATTAGGCTATGGTTCTCTTACAGATATTACGGAATTTTCGGTACTCACGCTTAAATGGTGCATGACCTGTCAACAAGAATAAGTCCCAGAAATGTTTCCTACGCTTTAACAGCTTCCGGGTTTCCTTATTAATCCATGGAGAGCCATGTGATAGCTTACGTGCTGACCATGGGATAAACGGCGACGT